TAAAAAAGAGACACACCATTTCAGATGCCTATAAACCATACTCTACGTTGTACGTTGTACAAACTCCGTTCCTGGTATAGGCGCTGTGGGCGCCAGCCCTACCCTTGTTGTTTGTAAAATAGTGCAATAAGCTCGCATCTATAATAAATATAGAAATAAGTAAGCAATATGATGCATATAAAAAAAAATATCCAATCAAAAGCAGTATTTGTACAAAAACACTTTACTTAACCATACACTCTGTTCCTAGTAAAAAAGACAATTATTTAAATAAATTTTATTACGTTACTTTCAACAGTTTCGTCACCTTTTAACCGTTTCATCATCTTTCGTCAGTTTCGTCACCTTTCGCCATTTCGTCACTTTTCATCCTTTCGTCAGTTTCGCCATTTCGTCTTTTTGATTTTTTTTTGACGAAACCCTTAGGTTTCGTCTAACAACATTATTAGTGGGTTATATAGAATATCAAGAATGTAATTTATGCAGTATGAAGATCATATATTGACCCCTATATTTGATTATAATTACTTGACGTTCGATAATTAAATATACAGTACTCATAAAACTAAAATTTCGAGCTGAAACCTAAGTCAGTTACAGATTCAGTACGTGCCATAAACTTTATATACTTTGCATACTATACATTATATATTACTTTATACTCAGTTGTGACTTTATCATGTTTGTTAATTTAACGGATCATGTGATGACTTAAATTCGTTAGAATTGGAATTAGAATTAAAGTTAGAAAGAGTTTCTTATAGTAAAATTGATTTTCGACAAAGCGAACGTTTGTTATCCTGATCGTGTTACGTTAAACCAAATTATGATTTATTATTGGCTAATTTGTCTTCGATCCTGAAAAAAACGTGGGGATTCTTACACCACTACTATTCGTATTACTCTTTTTAGAAACCTATCATGAGCGTATTTAAATCGTTTTTTTTTTAACCTATCAAGAATATACAGACGATTCATAAAGAATGTTTTTTTTGCATATATTGTTTATTTTGGTTAATTTGTTTATTTTTCAGACAAACTGCATCCGATGGATCCAAATAAATGATATATTTGAAAGTAAATAATTTAAAGGTATAAGTAGTATTAAAGAAATATGTAATAGTTGTACCCAACTATATAGGATATAACTGATTTATCCCCTGCTATCTACGTAACATAACTTTTTTTTACGCATTGTTTTTGATAGTTAAGATTACATATGATTGTCTTAATTGTTTTCTTAGAATGTCGAATAAATGGTAGTAAAAAATAATAATATCAGGTTAACGGTTATAATTATGCATGTGAAAAGCAGTTTAACGGTTGTGATTGTGCATGTGAATAGTAAATAGAAGGGATAGGAATGGATTATCAAGTTAGGGGCTACATTTCGGATGGAAATTGGTTATTCTTCTGTTCGCCATCGCTCGCTTTGGTAAGCCCACTATTGTTAAGTGGCACATCGGCTTTGAATAGCGGAATGACCACCGTAAGACTTAGAGACACCATAGTTAAATGGGATTGGCTTTTAGACTGCATTAGCAGTACGAGGACCAGATTAAGCTAGGTGCATCCTAGTATTATAAATTCGATTCTATGTGTATCGCTATATAATCTGTTAAGTCTCTTTCTGGGTGTGTTATTATGTTAACAAGAACTTTGTTAGAGCTCAAACTGTTTGAACTAGGGTTCAGAGGTTTTAGAGTTATCAGATAACGCTTCTGGCAATAACTTTGGCTTGATTAAGAGCCTTAGAACAGCGGGCCTATTCCATGTGTATCTCCTTCGTTTTTACAGTAAAATCTCTGATCAAGCAATAATAAATATTTTTATATCGATATATGTATGGGAGTCTTCTATCAATTTTGAAAGAGAAGTTTGTCAAGCTTGCTATTGCATTCTCTCTTTATTGAATAAGGGCATTGTATAATCGATTTCAAACCTAAACACATAGTCTTTCGAATTGCTAGCTATTATATATGTGTACGACGGAATAAAATTTTATTGTAAATTTAGAATTCCAAATTTATACAAAAACATAAGTTTATTCTGAATTTAATATATACAATAATAAAGCGTTAAAATTAATATATAGAAACTTAAATTGATTCTAAATTCGAGATAACGATATTTAAAGTAAATTGCGTTATATCTTTATACAGTCAACTTTCTTTAAGTGCAACTTCTCTCCAATATAACTTCAAATTAGAATCTATTACAATATATGTTTATTCAGGATCAATCTAAGTGGATTCTAAATCCACAATAATTTCATTTCGACGTATGACATATATAAACCTTCTCACTTGTTTCATACTCTACCAACTTATATACCATTGCAGTCACTACATAACTTCTTTTTATTAATTATCTTGTTTAACCATGACTTCCAAGAGGTGTTGATGTATATTCCGTTTTTTTCTGGATCTTGAGGCCGTATTATGGCGTCACGAGATTATGTATGGGTTAGGTGCTGGAAAAGGGGCTGAAAATGACAAATTTTTCAAGAGTTTTTTTTTACATAGATTATTTTTCACTTAAGATACAAAAGCAATTATATTAATAAAATTTTGCACTTTCTTATGTTTATTATAAGATTTATAATATAAAAATTGATTTTCCTAATGTCTTTTTTTTGTCATTTTGGCCTTTTCCTAGCACCTAGTCCATATGTTTAAGTCATGGCTATCAGCATACCATATTTTGCAAAATAAATTACGTATGTACCCTCGTACGTACTTACGTATGTATCTACGTGTGCAATTTTTTTACACAAGAAATTAATTATCACAATTAATACACGTCACATTAGTATACTATAAGCATTCAAAAAGGATATCTACGCTATTTGACACGAAGGGTATTTATTCCGCAAAATATGGTATTCTGTATTATTCAGCAATACAACATTATCTTATATATAAAACATTTTAATTTTGGGAGAAATTCAATGATCTACAGGGAGCTATTACCGAAACGATACTTTTTTACTGTATAGATAAGAGCCAGAAAGTCATACATTTATGAGTTCAATGCAATATTGTGATTTAGTATATGAGTAAAATTATTACTTGATATAACACTTTTTTCGGTAAGTTTTAAGTTTCTAACTTTTGAGATTTATAAAGATGACATTTAATCTTGTGCATTTGTTGTCATATACACGTCATCAAATATATGATATCATAAATATCTACAAAAAAAAAAGATCTCTATCCAACTTTTTATTTTGTTGATATCTTTTAATGAACGCGAACTTATCCACTCTTTCTAATTCTCAAATGTCTCCTCTAAATTCTTCTTGCGAAAATTGTTATATTCTCACCTCTCAACTTATTGTAAAGGATGAAACTATATCATCGCTTCAACAATATATCATAAAGTTACAAAAAGATTTGTTATTTACTCAACAAGAATTAATTCGTTGTAATGAAACCTTAGAGCATTTTAGTTGCTCTTCAGTTGCAAGTAGCCATAATGTTGATATCATTAGTCATCGACAACACACAACAAAATCAAAAACTTGTTTGAATCCTTTTCATGAGTTGAATGATAGTGAATTAAGTGGAAGCGAAAGTTGTAATGGAACGGTGGCTTTTCATAAAACCGAAAGATGTTTTCAAAATCTTTTAGATAACATTGGAACTCTCAAAATTCAAGAAAGTACTTTCAAAATTCAAGAAGGTAATAATAGTAACATTATAATATTTTTCATAATCATTCCTTTTCTGATATATTAATTCCATCTGGAATCAAATAATATATAGAATACAAAGTTTGGGTCGGAAATGTCATCCCCCCTATTACAATTCAAGGATTAAAATATAGATTTGAAGATGAATTTGGTGAAGTTTCATCGATTGAGCACTATGCACCTCAAGTACGTATTTCCTTTCCTTTTCATATTTGTACGAGTTTTTATTTTCTTAAAATTCTTGATTGTTAATTTATTTTATTATTGGAATAGCCATACGCTTATGTGACTTTTAAAAGCCAAGATGCATTTTATAAAGCTGTCAAAATGAAGAGAATTTACGTACAAGGTGTTAGAATTAATGTTGAGAAACCAAGGCATTAATTTGTTAAAGGATTAATCATTTCATGCTGTCATTTATTTGCTTATAACAATGATTACCATGCTAATACGTGCACTTCGAAAAATAATTAGACTTTCAGAACATCTGCATTTTATACTCAAAAAAACTTTAACATACGATTTAAACAATTGTAATATAGAATAAGTTTAAAATTATAATGCCATTCAATAAGTTATTTTTCCCATTACTAGTAGTCTTTGCGAATTTTAAATTTTATGATTCATTATGATTCATTATTAAATAGAATCGAGTCAGAAATGTACAAACTTCTATCGTTAATCAAATTTAATCATGAATACCATCTATTCATCAGATTTAAGATCCTATTATATAGTGTAGCAAATCCTTAATATTAACACAGATCAATGACGTTATCATATGGCTAGATGCTGAGAAAAGGAACTATATTAATGGAAATTAAAATTTGCGGAAATTAATCAAATCCGTATCTCGTATTAAATCATAAATTTTAAAAGGCTGTACTGTAAAATTTTAAGTATTAATAAAATATTAAGTGAAAAGTAAAAAATGTTTTTAAGTTAATTTTTAATTAGTTAGATTCAAAAATTTGGGCCCTTTTTTCAACACCTAGCTCATATATTTGTTATTTAACAACAGTAAAATTTTACTTGGTGTTTATTTTCGAGTTATTTCTGGTTGTTTCTAAATTTGTTTGAGTTGATCTTAAACTTATGAATTTCGTGAACCGTCACATTGCTCATTTATCCAAAACGAAATTGTTTATTTCAGCATTTTAAATATACTTTGTACTTGTGCTCACTTTAGAGCTGTTTAGCAGTGTAATATATAATATAGAGTCTACTTAATATAATTGTAACTCAATAATTCAGATGAATACAATAATTACTTGATTAATGATAACTTGAATAAGTTTTTCATATCTTTAGCAAGACTTTATAGCTATGTAACAGTATAAAACCATTCAAAATTTATCTGTTTTTTTTTCATTTTAAACTATTCAACCTATTAGCATATTTGCTGATCTTCGAAAGAAAATTGCTTGACACTCCTCAAAAAAAAAATAAAAACTTATAAGAAATAAGTGTTAAACCCATTACTCATCACTAAAATACATCATTTTTTATATGCAAGTTAATCGTAATTGTCAAAAGATTCAAGCAATTAAAAATATTATATAACAAAATATAAATATAATTTTTTCTAGTTTTATTCAATTAAATAAACCAAAAATATGAATGTCTTAGCAAGCAGACTAAAATGCTTAGTTTGCTCAAAAGAGTTTAAAACTAATTATAAAAAAATTTATAACATAATAACACTATCTACAAATTAAATAAAATATTAGTAAAACAAAAAATTTAATTATTTTAATAATTACTAAAATTAAAGATAATATTGTATATTCTATTTATTAATGATTGAATAAAAATTAAAAAAATAATAGTCTTCTGCAGTTTTTAATATTTCTTTAAAAAGTATATTTTAAGTTATTATAATAGTTATATTCATTGTTATAATAAACAAACAGGTGTTTTCAAATATATATTTTATATTTCTACTAGATATTAAAAATTAGCTAATAATTTTTTTTAATATTAATGGAAAGTTATGCCTTTATCTTTATTGAATATTTATATAGAGTATAATTTTGCTTTAAAACATTGTAAAAAGAATAAAAGCTCAAACTAATTTGTATATTATCTAAACTAACAGGAGTGGTCAAGGCTTATCTAGATTTGAATATTAGTAATTATGTATAAATGATTAATTTGATATTTAATCTATTAGATATATTAAGTGTTTATTTTTGAACTAATAGAATTAAATAAAGAAGAAGATAATAAAAATAAGACAAAATTTAATAATAAGTTGTATTTAGAAAATTAGTTATAAATTTTAAAATATAATAAAAAATTCAGATTTTATAATAAATTAGTTGATTAAGATAAAACAAAAACTTTATAACAAGTATTATGATTATTTTTTAAATAATAAATTTGTTATAAGGAGTGTGGCAACCTAGTGAAGTAATCAGGTTGTCAACCTTCAAGTGGTAGATTTAGTGTTCAAATCTCATTAATAGCAAAATTTTGAATAATTACAAATGTAATATTTGTATTATAGTAATAATTGTATTAGGATATTTGTAATAATAGGTGTATCAATATAGCTGACAAGTTATGAAGCATCTATATATAGTATTATACAAAGAAATACAAACCAATAATCAGGCAGTGCAAACACTAAATAAGTTCTTGTAACTGTATAAATTCATTAAAATTGGATAACAAGAAGTTTATTTAGAAAAACTTGAATAGAAAGATAGTCAAATCTTTAATAGCTCTACTGTAAAAACTAGTTTGAGAAAATGAATACCAAGATTATAATATCCAGATGAGCAAAAACCTCCAGGTTGGAAATCTCAAAGATACTACTAAATAGGTTGCTAGAATAAACTAGAAAAAAAAGTGATATTAGGTTGATCTAATATACTGATAAACTAGTTATAGTTTTATACAAACTATTTAAAAGTCTGATGAAAAGACAAGAGTATACTAAAGTACTTAGTTATGCTATAAAATAGATATTAGAATTCAAGTAAACTCTATAAGAGCATAGTAGTTAAATAATATAATTTTAACTGCAAGTATTAGTTCTGTTATAGTGATACTAAGTTAGCTATAAAAATGAGTATATAAGGCACTAAGAGGTTTATTTTAAGAAAAAATAGTTCTAAGATTAAGACAATAATTTGAACATCTGGGTATAATTCAGTGATATTAATACAGATTGCAGATTTAGAGGTTTTAAAGTGAAATATTCAAGCAAAGATGTTAGATATATAATATAGAAAACTTATATATGTAGCTAATTTTAAACTTTTTTGTAGTTGTTCATTAAATTATATTACCAAAAAAATTATTAATAAAAAGTTAAAAAATTAAAGAGATCACTTTAATATCAAAAAATAAATAAATAAATAAATTTGTAACAATATTAATAAGTTTATTTGATATAAGACCTGTTAGAATTAAGAAGATTAAAAATATATTTAATATACTTAAAATAGTTATTACTTAATAGCTTAATCTGATTATATAAGTTAATTATAGTATTTGATATAGTGTTAAGTATATTAGCATTAAAAATATGTTGTAATAAGATATTTATAAGACTGTATAGTAATTGATTAGATGAACAAGTTGTTCAGTAAAAATAATAATTAATTTGATAATATTAGTAACAAATAGGTAAATATAAATAATATTATTTATATAAAATATATAAAATAGAAAGATCATTTAGTATAATTTTAATTCTGAAGATCTTAAGATTAGAAAATTAAAAGTTGTATAAAAAGTTTAAAATTTTTTAATTGTTGTTAATATATAATCAGATAGCTTATTAATTAACTAGTTAAAAATTTAATACTATTTTTAAAGTAGTTTTGTATAATTGATAATAAATAAATATATGTATACCATATTATATAAATACTATTATAGATAGCTAGTTCTAAAGAAAATTTTTCAAAATTTAAAATATATGTAGAATTGTAAATATTATCTCTTAAATTGTTTGAAATTTAGAGCAAATTTGCCTTGAATTTTACTATAAAAATACTTCTGATCCATTTTTTTAAGCAATAGATATATTTAAGTAAATTTTTTTTTAGTAATATTTAAAAATAAGGATTATATTTTTATAAAATTTATATTTAAATTATAAGATAAAAATTTAACTTGTTTATAAATCAAAATGTACAAAATGTACAAATTTTAAAAACTTTTTGACTAAAAAAAATAATTTATATTTTTTTAATAAACTCTTTAAATATTAATTTTAAGCCTATAATTATTTAATAAAAATTCTTGTTTAAATAAATAATAATAATATTTATTATTATAACTTCTATAATTTACTTATAAAAATTAAATTTTGTATTAAAAGAAAAAAAATTTTTATAAACAAAAACATATAAAATTTAAAAAATTTAAAAAAAAATTTTATAATAAAAAATTTAAAATAAAAAGGTTAAACTTTTATTATCTTTAATTTTCTTAAAAGATTTAAAAAATTTTTTAATAAACTTATTAAAATATATCTTAAAATATATTTTTTATTTAGAAAGTATATATCTAAAATTAAAATTTCAGGGACACAAATTGCTAACTCTTTCTAACAATCACTTGTACCAAAATTCTGCTAAAGTAAATTTAATTTTCTTTAACAATTTATAATTAAATATATCTTTTAAACCAAATAAATCTGTTCATTATTATATTTTATATATACATACAAAATTTTATATTGCTAACTTAAATATTAAATAAATTAAATAACTATTTGTTAAAACACTTTAAAATTACTTATACTTAAATTCAGCCTAGGAAACTTGTCTTGTGCTCTAAGATAAAGTTATCCAGCTCACCTCTGGCTTCATTTTGATATAAGTTTCATCAAAAACTGAAAAAAATTAGTTATTTTATAAGCAAAAAACTCCAAATGGCTAATTTTCTTAAAATTTTTTAAAAATTGTTCTTTTCTCTTTATCCCCTTCAAATCTGAACCTCAAACACATTTTACAATATCATTTTTTAGTGGTTCATTCAACTTACTATCATTTTATAACTATTTCCCTTTTAGTTCTTAATTAATTAACACAAAAACAAATAATTAC